CTCCTTCTGGAAGCAAACTTACAGAGCCATACTTATTGAAGAGAGAAGGGATTTGTGATGTACATGATTACTTTAAATAGAGCGTATGCAATCAGCCGTCTCTTATTTGAGGTATTTTTCTCCTAAGCCACATAAATAATGAACACAGAAAGACATTAAATATAATGACACAGATGTGCCAAACACTATATCGACATGACTGAGTATAATTGAATGATGATCATCCGAAAGAACCAGGCTTTCCCTTGGGCATTACTGTATTTCTAGTGTCCTAAAGACTGACTGCAACCTTCCTAACCTAGCTCATGAGGGTTGGTGGGATTCCAGAGAGCTGGAAGGTCTGCAGATCAGACTGCTCTCCTAGTGGAATGAGTCCGGCAGTTTCTGTTGCTTTCTGGAGGCTGTGCCCCTCTGTTAGAGGAACGCTCGCTGGCAGTCCTTACAGTAGATGGTGCTCTCGTGCTGCCGTTGTGTTTTTGGAAAGGCATTTGTCTGGGCATCTGTGGTGCTTGGCTTGATCTGGGGAGCACTGTCCCCTCGGCTCCCCAGGATAGTCACCTGGAACTTCTGTTTGTGTGAAACAGGGACTTCCTGTGGCGTGGAATTAACAGTAGAAGAAGGGGGAGCATTCCTTCTTCCCTCCACTTCTAGAGCCAGCCTGGGCTCCTTCTCCGGCAGGAAGCTGTAGGAACGCCTTTTCGTTCCTGTCCCTTCTTTTAATAATAGCCCTGAGTTCCATCCCCCAGTACTGTTGAGTCATGTGTGGGGAATGACCCGTCTTCCCCTTTTCCCTTCATTCACTTTCATGGAGGATGCTAAATCAGGTTTCTTTCGTGGTGGCCTGGACCAGCTTTTCTTTCTTCCCTTTTTCCATAGCAGAAAGTACAGCAGTCCCTCCTTTGGTTGGTGGAAAGAAGCCTTTCCCTGGAGAATGCCGCTGCAGCTGGGGGCTTGTCTCCAGTGGCTCCTTTTTTCAAAGATTCCCTAAAATGAAAATCTTCCTCAGATGGGTGGACTTTTCACTTTCTCTCCCCCCCAGATTTTGAAATACATGCTTTCAAAGATAATGCCTTTCTCGAAACTCACCTTTTCTTTCATCTTCAAGGTCACACTATGGATGTACTACATGTTTTTGGATTATCTTGAATTTTCTGCTTTTCCTTCAAAGGAAACGGCTCTATTCTTCCGATACAAGAGAAATTATCCCTCGGTTCTTTGTAACTAGGGTTACCATTATTAATCAAGTGTCACCATTATATCAGGTCTCAGCAGACTGTGGCCCTCAAGTCAACTGCCTGCTTCTGTGAATAAAGTTTTATTGCAACACAGCCATGCCCATTTGTTTGCATGGCTGCTTTTGCTGTGAGGCAGAGTTGAATGATTGTGACAGAGACTGTGTGAATCATAACACCTAAAATATTTACGGTCTGGTCCTTTGCAGAAAAAAGTTTTTGGCCCCGTATGTAATTTATCGTTTAAACCAGATACTTTTGGAAGTGAAAAGGGGATGCTGTTAATTATACTGGATCAGCAGGCATAAACTGAGGTTGTCCTGGGCAAACCAGGATGTATGATCACTCTTTATTACCCACAGAGGATTGCAAAATAGGCACCGGAGCACATCATCTTTGATGACTGAAGGTTAAAAGGTTCATATGTATTTCTTTTTTTTTTTTTCCTTTTTGTCTTTTTTCATGACCGGTAACGGGATCGCAACCCTCGGTGTCGCGCCCGTACCGCGACTGGCAATGGGATCGCAACCCTTGGTGTCGTGCCCGCACTGCGCTCAACCAGTGAGCAGACCGGTCTCTATATGGGATCCGAACCCTCGGTGGGAGCGCCGCACTCTACCGAGTGCGCCACCGGGCCGGCCCCATGTGTATTTCTGAAGAATGATAGATGAACACATATGTACAAAAGAAACAACACTGAATAATAATAGAATTATCAGACTGGGATTCAGGAGAATGGAATTAAAATTCCAGCTCAGGGATCCTGGGTAAATCTTAACTTGTATGGATCCCAGTTTTTCGCTTATTAAATACCATCTGTATGAAACATTGCACTAAATGTTGGGATATAGAAACATGAATAAGACCTTTAGTTAGCCTCCAAATTCTGATAGTCCAGCCTGTGAAATGAGGGGCAACAAGAAAACAAAAGACCAGGAAGCTTTAACATCATGACTTTGAGGCTCTTGGCCTTCCTGGTGGGATTTATGGGGGGCCAGTGGGAATCCAAGGGAACTATCCTTCCCATCTTCAGAATACATTTCTCTTGCTGTAAAACTTAAACCTTCTCTAAAATTACAACCGGTAAGGATGAGATTCAGTGGCTATAGCTGTTGGGACTCTCCTAAGTGCGTATGAGATCCTTTCCCTGCGTGGAATCTCAGTTTGCACTTATAGTTTTTATGAGACCACACTTCTTGCTTCCTTGCAGTACAGCTACACAGTGGGCTCCAGAGTCACTGCAGGAACATCACCTCTGTTTTTGCAGCAACCCTCTTACTTACCCAAAGATGTTCTTCCAGACATGCTTTTCCTTCTCCCCACCAGTGAACTGTTAGATTGTTGGGGCCCTACTGACCAGTCTTCTTATCTGTTCCTTAAGAAAACCAAGAATTGGAAAGGGGCGTGAGTGGACCTTTATCCACTTCATAAGGAAAGGAATACATGTTCCTTCCAGTGTCCTATCATAAGCCAGAGGCCCCCTTTGGGGCCCCAAATCCTTACTTAGAATTTCTAGATGACAAAAGTCACTTAGTAGAACCTTAACAGGGATATTGCAATTTGGAGAAACAGATTTATAAGACCAAGTGTGGGTCATGCATAAGAATGAGGTCACAAACAGGAACTGTCATGGAGAAAAGAGCACCTGCCCCCTCTCAAGGGGGCAGTCGCAGCTCAACAGTTGGTTGTTACTCATGGGAGTGAGAGCCCAGTCATGTCAGAGCTTCAGGTTCTGCTGAGAGAATCCAGAAATCTAAGCGTTAATATGAAATTTTTAGATTTAAAAAATATTGGCTCTATTTTTATAAGAAAACTGCAGGCCAAGCAAAACCGGTCTGTGGGCTGTTTGTGGGTTTGCCAGTTTGTAGTGTGGTTTTCTATCTGTTTGGAGTTATGCAACCACTGCCCTTTTTACTGGCATGAATAATAACCTATCATCCATTAGACAGAAGCATTTTCCAGACAGTTGGCTAAGGTTAAGGATGTGCCTGTGGAATAGAGTTTTTGTTTGTAATAGACTCACTGATCCAAACAGATATGGGAATGTCTTCCTTGGCCCCTTAAGTAGGGTGATCCAACCAGCCGAGCTAAACTGCTCAATAGTGAGTAAAGGATTCAGGGGGCCGGCCCGGTGGCGCACTGGATAGTGCGCCGCTTGGGAAGCACGGCGGGCGCTCCCGCCTGAGGGTTTGGATCCCACATACAGACCGGCTCCCGCTCACTGGCTGAGTGAGGCGCGGGAGCAACGCCGAGGTTTGCAATCCCGTTGCCGGTCCCCGGTCCGGTACGGGGGCAACACTGAGGGTTGCGATCCGTTGCCGGACACGGAAAAAAGACAAAAGACAAAAAAAAAAAAAAAGGATTCAACAGAAGGAGTCTGCCTTCCTCATCAAGGGTACTGGGTCCCCAGCCTGTGGGCAGAACTCTTGTCTTTTCAGTGTGTCCACTGCAGTGACCATGATATCTGGAATCATGCAGCCTCTGAGACCAGAAAGCGCTCCTCTTCTGTTGGTTCCCTGTTTTGTCACTTCCAGTTTATCCTGTGCATATTATGACAGTATTTTATTCATAGTACAGTATCAGGAAATAAGATTAAAAAAAATCGTAATTGTTACCTATATTCCTGCATCTTAAGCAGTGGGTATACAATATAACTTAAACCTTTTTTAATGACTCATGTTATCTAGAGATACCTTCATTTTAAAGACAGATGGTTTCCAAATAAATAATTGTCACTATTTACAACCATAAGTAGTTATTGAAGTAAGTATTATAATTAGGCATTATGATTGTTTTTATACACACACACAGTTTTAATATGGTGGTAACTTTGACCTCTTGTAGGGGTATGTAGAGCCATGTTTTTCCTACTATTTATAGTCGGTAGACTGCTTAGCTTTTTCATTTCTATATCTATGGAAAGTTGAGTGAGTTTTTAAGTATATATATTTCAAAACATGTTTTTTGGCTGCTTAGGGGTTTTTAGTAAAAATGTGTATCTCTAGGTACTGAAATGCATTTCAGGTAGTTGAGTTTTGCTAAAAAAATTGTTGAATATTCCCACCTTCTTCCTTTTTTCCTGATTCAAGCCTTTCTCCCCCATAAAATTTAATGCATATCCCTCAGCTGTCATTTTTAAATTTATTTTTGTCATTTTTTAGTTCTTATGATACGCCTTTTCCTCATTGTCAGGAAAATTGTTGAATTGGCGCTAGAGTTTAGTTTTGTTTTAGGGTTGCCACAAAAGCTTGTATCTGATTCTTCTTTCCTTTGCCTCTTTCGCCACTGCAGTCCGATCCTGACCTCCCGGCAGATGCGCAGACGCCGTCCTCCACTGAGCTGGGGAGATATCCTGGCCTGCCCTTCCCAGCCTCCCAGTACGTCCCGCCCCAGCCGTCCATCGAGGAGGCGCGCCAGACCATGCACTCCCTCCTGGATGATGCCTTTGCCCTCGTTGCGCCCAGCAGCCAGCCCGCTAACGCCTCAGGCGCAGGCCCTGGGGTCCCAGCTGGCCTGCCTGTGAACAGCACCCCTTCCCGGGAAGACAGGCGAGCTGCCCAGTGGGGGTCCTTCTACAGCCCAGCCCAGACGGCCAACAACCCAGGCAGTGTAAGTACTGGACTTAGGCTAGAATTCTCTTGGGGGCAAGATGCTGGAGTTTTGCTTTCTAATCGCCTCACTTTCAGGCTCCCCACAAAACTCTGGTTGCATTTGATAAGAATTAAAGCTTGGATGATGGTTCTTAGTTTTTATTATCTTCTGATAAATTAATTCTTAATGCTGGAAGCATCCTTTTGTGCAGCTCTGATATCTGATATTTTGTTGAGGAATGGAGGGGGATTTTATGGAAACATCTCCCTGGGCACCTCACAATGTCATGAAATGAAGGTAGCGTAACTGTCAAAACATATTTTCATTGATGTCTCCATAAAATGTGCAGTTTAGAATGTACCCAAATCGTTTAACTTCTTGTATGGCCACCTGGGTAGAGAAGCCCCTGAGGCTCTGGGAGTGTAGGCAGCCAGTCCACAAGTGGGAAAGAACAACCATTTTCAAATGTCACCTTTCAAATGTCATCTTGGGAGTTGGCATTTCAGCATTTCAGCCTTTGTTATCATTTTTGTTTTTCATAGTCAGTCCTTTCAAATTTACCTTCTCAAGGCTGGGAAAAGAAGTAAAACTCAAGGAAGTAACACTAATATTATTTTATATTAATTTCAGATAAAATGATTAGGCCCAAAGATTTGACTCTGGTGAGACGTTAATAGGTCACAATTTAAATTTACTAGTCAGGGAGTGTTTATACTGGGTTCCTCTGATTTTGTTACCCATAAGGTGAAATTGGGTGACAGTAAGCATATGTTGAAAGAATTTTTACCTCTGAAATTGGTTTGAATTTTCAAAGAGGTCCTTATGAATAGACTGTTTCCTTCAAGGCTTGGGATGCACATTGTGTGCAGTGTGGGTAGCCACTACAATTAGGGGAAAAATACCATTCAGTCTCATCATTATTGCTTTTAATATTAAAATATAGCTTGTTTCAACAATAAATGTTAAACTACTTCAAAATTACAACTGATGGTTTATACTCTTTCAGAAAATGATTATACAGAACAAAATCTGATAAAATGAATGTGGATACAGCTGCTGTCTGGTCACTTAAGCTGCTCACATTTGTTTATTCAAATATATTTACGGAGCACTTGCTACGCCTGCACACTGTGCCAGGTGTTGGGGATATAGTGATGGACAACTTGGGTCCCTGTTCTCTAGCTCTTGCATTCCAGAGAGGATATGTGGACAATTAAAAGAATGATTCCACTACAATGTGGTAGGTGCTATGGCAGAGGAAGTTATGTGGGAGGATTCTTCACTCAGTCTTGAGGTGTTTGGGAGGGATTTTCTGGACAAAAATGACATCTAAGTGGAAGTCTAAGGGATAATTAGTGGTTATTAGTTAAAGAAGAGGAATGTTTCAGGTAGTGGGAAAGATAGCAGAGACAGAAATAGAAGTGTATTGGACTCCCTCTTCTGGATAAAGTGGAGAAACGGGGTCTAGATTTACCTTCCCTCCTAAAACAACCAAAAAAATGAGCAAAATATATGGGTTTTTATAACACTAAATATTAGGCAACAAAGGACAGGGATTGCTGAGAAATGTGTTGAACCCTACAGTTGCCCAGTTTAGTCTGGAGAGAGTTTCTAGCCTCAGTGCAGAGAGGGGGTCCCCAGGTAGAGCTCAGTGGTCTTCCTGAGTTGAGGAGACAGTGTCAGAAGTCTGAGGAGGAAAAGGCAGCTAGAGTTCACAAGAGAGAGTGCAGGAGAGCAGAGAGATGAACCAAGAACGAATTCTAGAGATCTGCAGAGAATCTTCATCTGAATACTGATTAGTTTAATGGTATGAAGAAATTACCTAAGACTGGGGAAAGAACCACCCACAAGAATTAGAGGGAGCAATCCTCAAAGCTCACACAGGCCCGGGAATAAGTTCTTGCTATGGACTGAACTGTGTCCCCTAAAATTCAAATATCGAATCTGTAAACCCCCATGTGACTATATTGGAGATAGGACCTTTAAGGAGGTGATTAAGGTCAAATGAAGCCATAGGGGTGGAGCCCCGATCCGATAGAACTGTTGCTCTTATAAGAAGAGGAAGAGACACCAGAGCTCTCTCTCCACCATGTGAAGACACAGTGAGAAGGTGGCTGCCTGCAAGCCAGGAAGAGGGAGCCCTCACCAAAAATTGAACCCTGCCAGATCTTGATCTAGGATTTTCCAGCCTCCAGAACTGTGAGAAAATAATTTGTGTTGTGTAAGCTACCCTTTCTATATTTTGTTAGGGCAGCCTGAGCAGACCAATACAGTTCCTTTCTCACCAGTTCAAGTAGAAAACCTCATAATTCATGTAACATTGGTTAGTGTACAGTACTCAGAATAGTTGTGCCTCAGTAGTGGGGCAAAATTAGCTCCAAATTAAATCTCTTCTGGTTCTGTCTACCAAAGCATGAAAACATAAAGCCTGAACCTAAACAAAGATAAAGAATACTTATAGAAACACAAAAATATCTAGCATACAATAAAGTATGACATCAGATTGAAACTAACCAGACAAAGAAGCAGAAAAATGACAAAGATGATAGAATTATTAGACAAGGATATTAAAAGAATTATTATAATGAAATTCCATATGTTCACAAAGCTAGAGGAAAGACTGAGCATTTTAATTAGTTGCATAAGATATTAAAAGACACAAATCAAATTAGAGATGAAAACAGCAATGTCTGAGATAAAAAATATACTAGATGGGATTAATGGCAGATTACATATTGCAGAAGAACAGATTAGTGGGCGGGCTTGAATACTTAGTAATAAAAACTATACAACATGAAAAAAAGATAGGAAATGGATTAAAAAAATGAATATAGCATTAGTGAGTTGTGGAGCAACTTCAAGTAGATTAATATACATGTAATTGGAGTTCCCAAAGAAGGAGACACAGAATAATTAAATAATGGCCAAAGTAATATTAAGAAAGGAAAACAAGGTTGCAGGCATCATACTTCCTGATTTAACTTGTATTACAAAGCTGTAATAATCAAAACACTCTGGTACTGGCATAAAAACAGAAATACAGACCAATTGAGAGCCCAGAAATAAACCCAAACATATATGGTGAACTAATTTTTGCCTCACCCTCACCCTCCAAACACTTTCCACTGGTCATGTGCCGGACCCTTGTGATGACTCACCAGCCTCTGAGTGGTTCATATTTTCAGTTTTCTGTGGCCCCTTGCTCCTATGTGGGTCCATGGGAACCCTGTTAGTGGTCTTGCTGGGCTGGGGGTTAGGCCCTCTCCTCCCCTGCCACCTCCAAACAACTTCATCTGAAGGGGACAGCTGCATCTTTTGCCAGCTCTTGCTCCGTGTGGTCACCAGGGTCAGGCTTGAAGTGGTTGGGGCTTGAAATGATTGGAGTGGTCCTTTCTTTCTCTCATTGTGGCTTCTCCTGACTTCATGAACTCCATTGGTCTTTCTCCTCTTCCTCTAAGCTCTAGTGGCCCCAGCTTAGCATTTATTACTTTTTAATAGTTGTAAATTGGTTGATTGTGGGAGAGGGTGACATTAGGTACCGTCTATTCTGCCATCTTGATCAGAAGTCCCTATGATCAGCTAATTTTGACAAGGGCACCAAGAGGACATAATAAGGAAAGATCGTTTCTCTAATAAATGATGCAGGGAAAACCGGATTCTACATGCAAAAGAAGGAAGTTGAACCCTTATCTTATACCATACATGAAAATAAACTCAAGATGGTGAAAGACCTAAACATAAGACCTGAAATTATAATATACCTAGAAGAAAATGGAAAAGCTCCTTGACATTGGCCTTGGTAATGATTATTTGTATATCACACCAAAAGCTCAGTCTACAAAAGCAAAATAAATAGGACTACATTAAACTAAAAAGCTTCTGCACAGTAAAGAAAACAATCAACAAAATGAAATGCAGCCTACAAATTGGGAAAAAATATATGCAAATCATATATCTGTTAAGGGATTAATATCCTAAATTTATGACGAGCTTATACAGCTTAATAGTAGAAAAACAGATAACTCAATTAAAAAATGGGCAAAAGACTTGAATATCTCCAAGGAGGACATAAAAATGGCCAACAGGTATATGAGAAGGTACACAACATCACTGATTATTAGGGAAGTGCAAATCAAAGCCATTATGTGATATTACTTCACACCCATTATGATGAGTATTATCAAAAAATTAAGAGATAAATGTTGGTGAGGGTGTGGAGAAAAGGGAACCCTTGTACACTGCTGGTGGGAATATAGATTGGTGAAGCTATTATGGAAAAGAGTATGGTGGTTCCTAAAGAATTATAAACAGGACTACCATATGATCCAGCAATCTGTCTTCTGGGCATATACCCAAAGGAAATAAGATCACTTCCTATTAGAAATATCTGCACTCCTGTGTTCATTGCACCATTATTCACAAAAGCGAAGATATAAAATCAATTTAAGTGTCCATCAATGGATGAATGGATAAAAAAACTGTGGCATATTATTCAGCCTTAATAAAGAAGGAGACTGCCATTTGCTACAACATAGGTGAACCCAGAGAACCTTATGATAAGTGAGATAATCCGGACACAGAAAGAAAAACCATTACATAGTCTCATTTGTATGTAGAATGAAAAAAAAAAAAAAAAGTCAAATATACAGAGATAGAGAATAAACTAGTGGTTACCAGGGGTGGTATGTGGGGATGGGGGTGGGAGTATGGGTCAAAGGATACAAAGTAGCAGATATGAAGGTACTTCAAAAAGTTCATGGAAAGATTAGTATTATCTTTTAATTCAATTTTTCCACGAACTTTTTGCAGTACCCTTGTATGTAGAATGAACAAATCTAGAGATCCAGTGTACTACAGGAAGACTATAGTTCATAAAATTGTATTGTAGTAGGGATTTTAAAAAAATAAGTAGGTTTTACTTGCTCTTGTCACCGAAAAAAATGTATATGAGATGATATGTTAATTTGCTTCAGTATAGTAACCACTTTACTCTTTATATGTATCCCTAGTATCATCTT